CGTGCGCCCCCTCCTCTCACTGCCCTTCCCTACCTGCACTTAGCAAGCCCTTCTTCTCACTGCCCTTCCCTCCCCTCAGCAGGCCCCTCCTCTCACTGCCCCTCCCTCCCTCCCCTCAGCAGGCCCCTCCTCTCACTGCCCCAACCTTACAGAGGGACTCTGGAAGCCTTCTGTCAAAGTTCATGAACAGGATTTGGGAAGGCCAGCTCGGGTGGGCCCTTCAGCTGCCTTCAGCCCTGGCTGCCACTCTGCCACCTTGTGAGTGATCTTGAGCCAGGACCCACCCAGTGCAGCCACTGCTGCATTCAGGACTGCAGGACCCTCAGGTACAAAGTGAGAACCTAGACACTGGTCACCTTCAGTGACGGGGACGCTTGTTACACAACACAAGATTACTGGGAAGTGATGAGACAGCTGCCCGGACTGGCACCCACCCAGGCTGGATGAGGCACCTGCGGTCCCCACAACCACCCCACCTAAGAACAAGCAACTCTACACGCTCTCAAGGCTTACCTACCGTCACTGTAGTCGATGGGCGAGTACCCTCCCAGGAACAGCGAAGCAGCAAAGCTACTGACCAAGGAAATCCTCTGGAAAAAAAGGGAGCAGAGTGAGAGAAGACCGGCTTCCACACACACTAAGCTACAAACGTTTCGAGCTTTCGCATGAGCAAACACACACACACACACACACACACACACCACACGCCTCAAGGAGGGCTTCATTCCTCAGTGGCTTATGCTGCCGAGTAGGCTGAAACCTGGAATCATCAGATAATAATCTCAGCCAGGTACAGGGGCAGAGCCCTGTCATCTTAGGCCTTGAAGCAGAGGCAGGGGTTTGGAGCCAACCTAGCCTACATAACGAGTTCAAAGCAAGACTAGGTTACACAGCAAAACCCTGTCTCAGAAACCATAGTCAAAACAAAACACAAAACACCTCATGTGAGGGTGTGCACCTGTAATTCTAGCATTCAGGAGGTGTAGGAAGGAAGCTCGGGAGTTCAGGTCATCCTCGGCTTCATAGGGAGATTGAGAACAACCTGGGCTACAGGAGATCCAGGCTCAAAAAGAAAAGAATTAAGCAAAAAGAATACATGTTTATAACTCTTATGGATTTGCCAAACATGTGCAAAAGCACGATACGCAGTTGTTTTGGGAGCCAGGCTTCAAGATGGTCCCTGCTGACCCGACTGACCCACCCTAGATGCCAGCAGCACTATGTGAGCTGGGCTCTGGACTGAACGGAGAGGAAAAGGTCAGCTGGGCATCTGCCTTCATCTCTCCCTGCTTCCTTCAAGCTGCATTTATTCCTTATTTTATGCGTCTGAGCATTTGTCTGCAAGCATATATGCTGAGCATGACATGTGTGCCTGGTGCTCACAGAGGACAGAAGAGGGCGTCAGATCCCCTGGAACTGGACTTATAGATGGTTGTGAGCAGCCATGTGGGTGCTGGGACCTAAACCCAGGTCTTCTGCAAGAGCAGCCAGTGCTCTTCACTCCTGGGCCACCTCTCCATCCTTCTCTCTGCTTTCTGGCTAGGGACACAATGTGACCAGCTGCCTCAAGATCCTGATCTTCAGCGGCCCTGCGATGGCCCTGCACCTTCAGCACAGAGGTCAAAATAAACTCTTTCTTCTCTAAGTTGCTTTTTATCAGTTATTTTCTCACAGAAAGAAGAACACTGACTACAAGAAGGAGCCAGTCATGGTGGGCACACCTGTGATCCCAGCACTTGGGAATCCAGGCTAGCCTGCACTACGTAGTTAAATCCTGCTGCTGTAAAGAAAAATAAAGCACAAAAATTAAAAAACAAAATAGCCGGGCGTTCGTGGCGCACGCCTTTAATCCCAGCACTCGGGAGGTAGAGGCAGGCAGATCTCTGTGAGTTCAAAGCCAGCCTGGTCTCCAGAGCGAGTGTCAGGATAGGCTACACAGCTACACAGAGAAACCCTGTCACAAAAAACCAAAATAAATAAATAAATAAAAATTAAAAATAAAAATAATAAATAAATAAATAAATAAATAATAAGGAATGAGGGCCAGCAAGATGGCCCAGTAGGTTAGCGTACTTGCCACCAAGCCTGACAACCTGAGTTCCATCTCTGGGCCTGATGTGGTGTGAGGGGAGAATCGACTCCCATAAGTTGTCCTCTAATCTCCACATACAAACCTATTCACACTCCATACACACAAATTACACACAAATAAATAATAAAAATAAGTTACTTTTCTTGTTGATCTTTTATAAAAAAAAAAGTAAATTTAAGAAGAAAGGAGGGAAGGAGAAAAAAAGAACATCCTAAGCAGTTTTATCACTGTGCAAACACCATCCAGCATGTTTACACAGATCTAGACAGGGGAGCCTAGCACATACCTAGGCTATATGGCACAGCCTGTGGCTCCTGGGCCGCTGCAGACAAGTGTGGCACAGTGCCCTCGGTGTATTGAAAATTAGGAAAGATACAGGCTTTTTGCCTTTATTTTTAATTTGCTTTGCTGTATTATTTGTCACGTGAGAGGGCTGCACACATGCCACAGCACACGTGTGGCGGCGAGAGGGGCAGCTTTCAGGAGCTGGTTCTCCTCTTCCGTCCTAGGGGCTGTGGGGATCAAACTCAGGGGGCCGGGCTTGGAGGCAAGCCCCTGTGCCCTCGAATTATCTCAATGCCCCTCTCTGAGTCATTTGACACCCACCCATCAAGGGCATTAGCCCATTCTTATAAGGTGTTTGTGTTGAGGCCAGGGTGATAAAAAGGATTTAAGTGTGACTTTGATGGAACATGAAGTCTCACCAACCTCGGAGTTTGAGTAGGCCTCAGGGTTTTGCTGGAAAAGCTTTGCTATCTGGTTCCCTGTAAAGCGCTGGGGAGAAAAAAAGAGCACAGATTCTTAGACATTCAGATCCTACACAGAATAACCTTACAGTGAGGTCAGCATAGCATAATCTGGGTATGGCATGGAATAGCAATAGCTTTGAAAACCCCCCAAATCTAGAAACACTCATTACCAGCTGAACACAGAAAATGGTGGTGTATTTTGGCCTTTGAGTTCTGAAAAAGTTCTTGGTAATGAGCTCTCAGGAAGTCACCTCAGCTTCCTGGGAGAGTCAATCAGCTCTTTGACTAGCCCTTACTATAACTGTCCTTAAAATATATTTATTTATGTAGTTAATGTGTACGGGCCTGTGCCTGAGTGTGTGTCTGTTTGCCACATGTGTGCAGGAACCTACAGAGACCAGAAGAGGCCATCAGATCACCCTGGAGCTGGAGTTACAGGTAGTTATGAACTGTTGTGTAGGAGCTGGCAACTGAACCCATGTCCTCTGCAAGAGCAGCCAGTGCTATTAACCACAGAAACCCCTTCCCAGCTCCATGAGACCAGAAGCAGGGGCTCAGGAATTCTCCTTGTGGAAACTGTATTATTCCTAGTATTCTAACTGGGCTTAAAAACGTTTTGCCTTTGTTTTTACTTTATTTTATGAGGGAGGTATATGACGGGGGACGTCCTTCTGTATTTATGTTTCTCTTATTGGTTGATGAATAAAACACTATTTGGCCAATAGAGGCAGGAAGATAGGTGGGACTACGAGACAAAAGAGAATTCTGGGAGAGGTAGGCGGAGAGAGATGACGAAGAGACGCCATGTAGACCACAAAGGAGTAACAGGCCTGGGCATTCTCTGGTAAACCAAGACAATGTGGAAATACATAGATTAAAGATTAATAGACATGGGTTAATAATTAAGACAGAGCTAGACAATAAGAAGCCCTAGCCACCGGTCAACGGGTTTATAATTAATATAGTGTCTGTGTGTTTATTTGGGGCTGAGAAGGGCGGTGTGACCTGGCAGGACAAGAAAACTCCAGCAGTGTGTGTGTGTGTGTGTATGTGTGTGTGTGTGTGTATCTGTCCATGTAGTGGGTGTCCAATCCCTTGGACACACAGGTGCTAGCCACCAGATGTCCTGGGAACAGAACCCCTACAAGTGCAGTATGAACTCTGACCTGCTGAGCCATCTCCAGACCTCCATTCCCTACTTAAGCCATGGTCACATTACCCAAGATAGCCAATCACAACAGACTCTGGGATGGTAAGTAGCTAAAGCCCTTGGAGCCCCTTGAGTTCAGTCTTCTGAACTCTTAACTCTTTTCAACTTCAAACGACCTCAAATAGATTCTGCCCTACTTGCTATCGAGAGGTTACAGACCATGAGTCTGAGGCAGCACCCCCCGCCCCACAGTAGCTCCAGTGAGGGATGCAGCCATGCTCAGACCCCAGCCCTGGCCTGGGACCACATGCAAGGACCTTACCATTGCCCGATAAATGAGACAGGACAGCCTGGATCAGAACCCAGGGTCTGCATGTTCCAACCTGGCTTCTGACACTGACATTAGCACCAGTTCAGACAATCCCTGCCCCCACAGGCTGGGTGCCCACTGCATCCTCCCAGAGCCGTACTCCCCATCCTAGCATGGGTGTTACCTACCTCATAAGCCCGGGACCCTGTGAGGCAGCTGAGAGCCCGGGCCCCACCCACAGCAGCCTCCAGCTGGCGGCACTGGGCTGTGGTACTGGAGTCCATCCATATCGGGCAGTCGCTGATGGAGAAGCAGGCCTGGAAAGAACAGCAGGGGTTCAGGCTTCTCTTCTACCACTGACCACAGGCAACCCTGGGGCTGGTAGTCATACTGTTTCTCATATCAGAAAGACCCTGTGGACAAGCCCTCTGTGGGGCCAGTGAGGTCTCACCAGAAAGCCTGGGGTGGGATGATCTCTGCTAAACATTCCTGGGCAAGTCAGGGGGTGGTGGCACACGCCTTTAGTCCCAGCACTCGGGAAGCAGAGTTAGGATGATATCGGTGAGTTCGAGGGCAGCCTGGTCTACAGAGCAAATTTCAGGACAACCAGGACAGTCTCCAAAGCTACACAGAGAAACTCTGTCTCAAAACACCAAAAAAAAAAAAAAAAAAAAAAAGACGCCTGGGAGATTCAGGCTGCAGAAGACAGGTAACAGTGGCATCAAAAGTTTAGCTGGAGCTTTGGAAACAGGAAAAGGAAACTGCACCTCACAGCATCACCCAGGGGCCCACACCAGCTGCTCTACAAAGGAAGGGACTCATTGATGAGAGGTCATCTGCACATCTGGGCAACCCCAAGGGGACCAGCCTGGGGGTGGGGCAGACCATGCTCCACCTTCTCACACCCATGACAATGCAGAGACACCCTGGATTTCTGGGTTCCCTGGACACAGGGGTCCTCCCTGCAGGCTTTGCAGAGGTTTTTTTTAGATTCACAAGCATCTTCACCTGCAGCTGCTGACATAATGGGAGAGCTGGTGACAGGCTTGACAGCACCAGGCTGGCTCCAGTCTTCCAGTAAACGCTTCCATGTTGCTGTTGAGAGGAATGCAAGCACACGTTCACATAACATGCCTGGAGTCACAAACTCCTGCAAATACAGAGCCAGATCACAAGCCAAAAAAGAAAAAAAAAAAGTCTTCAAGACTATCTCTACCACCTCTTTGCCACACAGCTCAGTGCCTTTATTATGTGTGGCTTTCACTTTTATAAAATGAGAAGAAACTCCTTCCCATCACCTCAAAACTTGTAGGAAGGGTTCTAGAATCATTGGTCTGTATTGTGGTGTCTTTTGTTAGACTGTACTAAGTTTTCAAATACCACCTGCAGTAGTGCCTGAGGTTGCCTCATGCCATGTATTCACTTAACAAACATACTGGGCATCAGGATCATGCCAGACACGAGTTAATAGGTTATTACTGACCCCGAAGTCCAGGGCAATGAAAAAGAGTAAGAGAAAGACACAACAAGGCAACTACAAAACCCTGCAGAGGGCTCAGGACATGGCTCAGTGGTTAAAGTGCTTGCCATGCAAGCATGAGGGCCTGAGTTCAGTCAAGCCTTGAAAAAATAGCCTGGGGTGGGGTGGAGAGATGGCTCAGTGGTTAAGAGCACTGGCTGCTCTTCTAAGGGGCCTAGGGTCAACTCCCAGCACCCATCTGTAACTACAATTCCAGAGACTCTGACAGCCTCTTCAGGCCTCTGCAGGCACCAGGCACACATGTGGTGCAGAGACATACATGCAGACAAAACACTCACACATAGAAAATAAATAATAAATACACTTCAAAGGAATCTAGAGGGCTGGAGAGATGGCTCAGTAGCTAAAAGATCTGGCTGCTCTTCCAGAAGACCTGGATTCAATTCCCAGCACCCACATGGAGGCTCTCAACCATTTGACATGCATGTAGACAAAACACCATACATATAAAAATAAAATGATTTTTTAAAAGAAAAATAACAATAGGTCTGGAGAGATGGCGCAGCGGGTTAAGAGCACTGACTGCTCCTCCAGAGGTCCTGGGGGTTCAGTTCCCAGCACCCACACGGTGGCTCACAACTATGTATAATGAGATCTCGTGCCCTCTTCTGGTGTGCAGGGACACATGGAAGCAGAATGTTGTATACATAATAAATAAATAAAATCTTAAAAAAAAAAAAAAGAGTAGCGCCGGGTGGTGGTGGTGCACACCTTTAATCTCAGCACTAGGGAAGCAGAGGCAGGCGGATCTCTGTGAGCTCGAGACCAGCCTGGTCTACAAGAGCTAGTTCCAGGACAGCCTCCAAAGTCACAGAGAAACCCTGCCTTGAATCCCCCCACACCCTCCCAAAAAAAGAGAAGCTAAAATTTAAGGAAGTGTATCCTGTTCCAGGCACTGTACTATGTTCTATCAGTCACAGTGACCCTATGCGAGATAAGGGTACAGTGTGATGTGACTTGGGTCAGGCATCTACATGGCAGAGCTGAGCATGCCCAGAGCACCTCAGCTCAGAATCTCCACTGGGACTAGAGAAGTCGAGGACCTCAGCACAGTGCCCGGCACACACTCAGGCCAGGTCCACTCTCGACAACAGGAATACTACAACTCTCTACTGAAAATACTCTCAGGACTGGAGAGGTGGCTCAGCAGTTCAGGACGCTTGCTGCTTTGGCAGAGGACCCAAGTTTGGTTCTCAACACCCACATCAAGGGACTCACAATTGTCTGAGCTCCAGAGGAACCAGCATCCTCTTCGGGCCTCCTAGGGCACCTGCACTTATGTGAACAAACCTACACACACACACACACACACACACACACACACACCCTCACACATACACATACACACACACACTCATACATACACACACACACATACATATTCATACCTAAAAATAAACACATAAAACTACTCTGTTAGTATCACTTCTTACTGTTTTTCCTTCCAAGAACTAGAAAGCAGTTTTAGTGTCACCAAACAGTAGTAATAAACCCACATCTAATGTTCCCTCCATCCCTTTCTGTGATCTATACATAGTTTCCCTATCAACTGTCCTACCTTACTGTTGTCTATTTATTGAATGCTGAAGAGCAAACGTCGGGCCTCACACATGCTAGGAAAGTGTTCTACCACTGAATTATATGCCTAGCCCTCTGTTTAATTCTAATTAACTTGCCCAGGCTACCTTCGAACTCACCCTGTAGCCCAGGTAGGCTTTGAACTTGCAATCCTCTTGCCTCAGTCTTGCAATTAGCTGGATTACAGGCCTACACCACCAAGCCCACCTGAATGTCCTGTTTACATAGAAGCAGCTCAGACCCTTTTAAAAAGACCAGCCATACAGCCCCTAAGGTGAAAGAGCTGAGGGTACTGTCACTACCAAAAACATGCTTACTCACATTTGAGGCCAGCCTGGTCTATAGAGCCAAGTTCCAGGTCAGGGCTACACAGAGAAACCCTGTCTCAGAAAATCTAAAAAGAAAAAGAAAAAGAAAGAGAGAGGGAGAGGGAGGAAGGAAGGAAGGAAGGAAGGAAGGAAGGAAGGAAGGAAGGAAGGAAAGAAGGAAGGAAGGGAAAGAAAGAAATGTGCACTCCACGGGAACCCATCACCCGCCCACTGCTGATATAGCCAAGTTCCCAGGGCAAATGGGGCTGCTGTTGACAAACCTGGCCTGCCCCAGATAAGGCTAGAACTTGAGAGAAGTCAAAGCCGGAAGCCTTCATCTTCTCCAGGATCAGGTCCAGAGCCTGAGAATAGAATCCACCATGACTCAACAGAACCCACCATGACTCAAGGGAATCCACCATGACTCAACAGAACCCACCACGATCAACAGAATCCACCATGACTCAACAGAACCCACCATGACTCAACAGAACCCACTGTGAATCAACAGAACCCACCATGACTCAACTCAATGGAACCCACTATGACTCAGTAGAACCACTGAGTCCTCTAAGCCACAAACCTCAGCACAGAAATGCCAAGGGCTCTGTGGAGAGGAGGGTCATCACTATAGGGTCTGTGTCAGGATAGTTAATTAAACAAGCTGGCATCGGTCAAATAAAAGGGTCAACTTGGCTAAACACATATTTTTTTTTGTATGTCTTAAACCTTTATTTTTCCTAGCTGTGGTAGTTCATGTCTTTAAACCCAGCACTCAGGAAGATGTGGATCTCTGAGAGTTTGAGTCCAGCCTGGTCTACAAAGTGAGTTCCAGCACAGCCAGGGTTGTTACACAGATAATTCCTGTCTTAAAAATCCAACAAACAAATTTAAAAACCAATTATTTGTATTTGTGTGTATTTGTGTGTAAATGTATATGTGTCTATGTGAATGTGTGTTCCATGTGTGCAGGTACCTGAGAAGGCCAGAAGAGGTCATCAGATACCCGGAAGCTGGAGTTAAATGGTTGTGAGCAATCTGGCATGGGTGCTGGGAGCTAAGCTCAGGTCCTCTGGAAGAGTAGCAAGCACTCTTAACCAGTCGTCTCTCCAGATCTGTTTCTGGTTTGTTTGTTTTTTTGAAAGAGGGTCTCATGACATCCAGGCTGCCCCCCAACTCACTATGTAGCTAAGTAGTGCAGGTATCCAGACAGGGAAGCAAACCGCTCAGAGAGATAATGAAACCCTGAGCTGGGCAGTGGTAGCGCACACCTTTAATCCAGCATTTGGGAGGCAGAGGCAGGCGGATCTCTGAGTTCCAGGCCAGTCTGGTCTACAGAGTAACAGCCAGAGCCACAGAGAAACCCTATCTAGAAAAGCCAAAAAAAAAAGAAAAAAGAAAACACAGTTCAGATTGACTTCATCAACCTGGATCAGACTTCCGGAACTCTAATAACAGGCAGTTTATTACCAATGTATTTAAGAACACTATAATATGGAAAAAAAGTTTCCTGGTGTAATACAATCCCTGGTGCACAAGGAAGCATGATTACATTGAGACTCAACTCAGGGTGCATGTCATTTCTTCCAAGAAGATGGGTTCTAGAAATAGGCTACCTGTACTTGCTTAATAGAGGTCATTGGGTTATTAGCCACTTCCTGTCCTGGCTGTAGGAGCTTGATATGGCCTGGCCCAACAGATAACACCAGGCTATTAATCACTTCCAATTCTTAGCTTTCGGAATGGAAGAACAGGTTTTATATCTTCCCCATTGGAAAGACAATCCAGTGTACTTAACATTCCTAGTTTCTCTGGAGATCCGAGTACACCTCCAGGCTATGCTTCCAACAGCTAAGGATGACCTTGAACTCCTGATCTTTCGGCTTCCACCTCTGAAGTGCTGGGATTCCAGGTGTGTGCCATGCCTACTCTGGCTAAATAAATGTTTGAAAACAAAACAAAACACCGAAATCATAAACCACTAATCCTCAGGATTTCTGTCTCTACTTGGTATTCTCCAAGCACTCAACAACTCAAATTTGTGTTTTTCTTTTACTTGTATTTCTACTTCACCGACTGTCTGAACGATCTGAGTCCAACAGAGAAGGGCAAGCCAGGCAGATGTTGCCATTAGAAGACGCCAGCCAGGTCCAGACTGTCTGTCCACAGGGGCATGAGGCTAAAGGAGTGAGTAGAGTCCACTACCCAATGGCCATCTAACACTCTTGATCCGACTGGAATCTTTCTCCAGGAGTGGGAGGGAAAGGCGGTGGTGTTCAGCAGAGTGCCACATTACTGCCTAAGACCTCACAGCCAGATGGGATGGGATGCAGTTTAATTGGTAGAACACTTGCCTACCATACATAAAGCCCTGGCTTCCAGCCCCAAACCACATAAAGCCAAGCTTGGCGGCACACAAGATTATCTTAGTGCTCGGGAGACAGAGGCAGGGGCATCAGAAGTTTAAGGTCGCCCTCAGCTACACAGTGTTTGAGGCCAATCTGGGATACATGAGAACCTGTCTCAATATGTATCCATGTCATGAGAGATGACACAGACAGACAGATACAAGAACATTTCATGGCAGGAATCTGAAATGCATTCCCGCATTCCTGCATTCCCGCTTGTATCTTCTGAGGGCAGAGAAATCACTCTGGTTTTTGTCTAACCCTGACATCTCCATGCTGTGGTCACTGCTGGCCCTGACAATGCCACTTGCCAAACCTCAGACAGGAGGGCAGGGACTGGCAAAGTCTGAAACAAGTCCAGCCCCAGAGGCTGCCACAGCCACGTGGCCACCCTGGCTCCTCATGCAACCCTGTATCTCCCCCCACCTACCTGACACAGCCCTTAACATCTGCGGCCTCTTGACCCTCGTCTCTGGCCGCCTACTACCACCTCTCCTCAGTGCAGTCTTCTGAAACGCTCTCCCAGACAACCTGTCTGGGTAGAATCCATCCTTAACTTCACTCCTCCAGCATTTGACCCAAGCATGATCAGGCAGACAAAACAGAACTCACACTAGTTTATTAAAAAAAAAAAAAATTATGTAGGAGATTGTTCAACAGGTACAGGAGGGTGGAGAAGGCCTTTGGCAGACACAGGCTATGCTGCCCTTGGCTTTCAAGTTGATGGACTTTGGCGCCATTAGCACATTAGGCAATCCAAATCCTATCATGTCCATGTTGAACAGATCCTTGCAGAGGTCACCAGATCAGGCCACAGGTGAACCAGAGTGGGTGACCCTAAGCAGGCAGGTTGATCGCAGCCTGACTAGTTGATTTGTAAGTCACTATTTATTCGGAGTGACCATGCCATGGGGACAAATACGAAGACACCAGGGGCCATGCTTGGACTGACAGCGGGGACTGGGAAAGCCTGGTTTTGTGTCCCTTTAGAGGTGGCATGGGCTGGGGATACAGCTCAGTAGAAACTCCAGGATTGCATGTTGGCCATGGTGTTACACACCTGTAATCCCAGCACTTGGTGGTAAAGACAGGAGGGTCGGAAGTTCAAGGTCATCCTTGGCCACATAGTGAGTTTGAGACCACCCTGAGCTATGAGAGTTGGCCTTTGAAACAATAAACAATAAATAAATAACTCTTCGAAGGCTGGGCTTGCCAACCTTTGTGGCTCTCGTATCTAGAAGTCTCTCGTGAGTCCTTGCAGAAAAGCACAGGCGCCATCTAAGGCTGGTCTGCCCCAGGAATCACTCGACTTGCTTTAACCCTGGTTAGAGGGTTAAACAGTCTCAATGGATGCCTCCATGAGTTGATACCTTGGGGACACCAGTGACACAGGCTGGACACAGGAGAAGGAAGGGGGCCTCCCTGTGCTTACCTGGACCCACATCAGGACTGGAGAGGTAACCGTCAGCCTGTCCTTGTGTACATGGACACCGCCCTGAGTTCTGCAGGGAGAACAGGTATGTGGGATGGAGCTCCAGGGTAGGCTGAGCTCTGAGAAGCTGCCCCATGGTCGAAAGAGACCTCCAGTTAGAGGACACTATCCCGTGAGTGCCAAGCAGAAATTGTGTGCTGACCAGGGGAAGATGTAAAAAAAAGGTATGAAATCCTTTTTCATATGAAACTGGACAGCTCATTTTTCAGTTTTCACTTTATGTGTATGCATGCTTTGCCTACACGTATGTCTGTGAACCACATGTGTGCCTGGTGCTCTGGGAGATCAGAACAGGCTGTAAGAACTGGAGTCACAGATGGTTGTGAGTCACTATGTAGGTGCTGGGAATGGAACCCAGGTCCTCTGGAAGAGCAGCCAGTGCTCTTAACTGCTGAGCCATCTCTCCAGCCCTGAGGAAGCGTTTCCTAGAAGATACCTCAGAAGAGAAAACCTTGCTAGAAGGCAGGGTTGGGCCTCATGACTGAAAACTGGTTGCTTCCCACACCCCAACCTCCAGAGTCTTACATTGTAGCTCAGGCTGTCCTGGAACTCAGTCCTGATTGCTTAGATTGCAAGAGTGTACCACCACCAACCCAGGTGAGCAGGTAAATTTATCTAAGAGAGACGGATGGTACAGCCCCATGGTACACCAACTGTTTAATGTGTACAAAGCCCTCTTTTTTTGATCCCCAGGACAGAAAGAAAAATGAACATTTTTTTCTAGAGGAACAGCCAAGTGTGGTGGCACACTCCTGTAATCCCTGCTCTCAGGAGACTGAGGCAAGAGGACTATGTACTGGGGTCCAGCCTGTGCTACAAAGTGAGCCTTTGTCTCAACAACAATAACAACAACAAAACCCAGATGCGGTGACTGTAACCTCAGCCTCTGGGAAGGAAGGCAGGGGGTTTAAGGTTATCTTCAGTTACACAGCGAGGTACATGAGGCCCTGTTTCAACAAGGGGAAGAGGAGGCAGAGAAGACACACTCAGGCGCAGTGCACCTGCGCACATAACACAACCCTTCCCTGTTGCCATGTGCCAAAGGGACCCCAAGAAGAAGGGGGCCCCAGTAGATATGACCACTGGACTCTGGCCAGAAGCATGAGCTGATGTGAACTTTCTTGTTTTGTTTTTTGTTTATTTTGTTTTTTGAAATAGGGTTTCTCTATGTAGCCCTGGCTGCCCCGGAACTCACTTTGTAGACCAGGCTGGCCTTGAACTCACAGAGACAGATCCACCTGCCTCTGCCTCCTGAGTGCTGGGATCAAAGGCATGCGCCACTACTTCCCAGCTTTGTGAACCTTTTTTTTTTTTATATAACTTCACCAGTCTGTGGTACTTTTTCATTAGCAACCGAAGGTAGCCAAGTACAACCATCAAAGCTTAGCACCCAGCACCGTGCCTGGTAAAAGCAGATCTCAAATGTGGGAGTGAATGAATGGCTTGAACTGGGGGAGAAATCACTTCCTGTATAGGAAGAAAAGATTCTCAGAGAATAGCAAGATACCTCAGGGGTTAGGACCTGGGTTGGATTCCCAGCACCCTATGGTGGGTCACAACTCCAGTTACAGGGGATCTGATGTCGTCTTCTGGCCGCTGTGGGCCCCAGACATGAATGTGGTACACAACATACATGTAAGCAAACACCCATACACATATAACAATAATGAGGATGATGATAATAATAGTAGAAGGTGCTCAATTTCTACGTAGACTGCCTCTCCAGCATCTGGGTTAAGTCAGAACAATACAGCTGATAGATGTAAATGGTTTAGGGAAAACCTCAAACCGCCCACCCACCCACGCACACCAGGTACATACCCAAATTCAGGAAGGTCTGTGTCAAAATGCACACTGTCCTCATAGAAGACATTCAACTCTGCATCAACAGCAACAATTTTAACCTGGAAGACGTTTATGAAAATGGTGTCTAGGATTTTCTGAGCCTCTACTTATGGCCCAAAGGGCTTCAAAACATCAGTCAGGGGGCAGCAGCACTGTTACCACAGCAACAGAAGTTTCATGGGGCATATGTTCAAAGATTTAGTTAAAAAAAAGAAAGAGAGAAATTAAAGAATGGGAAAGCCAGCTGAAACTCCCACTGTTTACAAGAATCTGGTCCCCAAACTGGAGGCCAGGATCCTACACCTGGCAAGGAGGCGTGTCTGCAGGGATTGTCTGTCCCTAGAGCCATGACCACAGTCAAGCCATACATGACATCTTAATGAAGCCATTCCAACCTCAGGGAAGATGGGGAAACAGCAAGGCGACTCTCTGAGTCCTACGGGATGTTCTCCTGAGACCTGAAAGTTCTGCCTCTCTTCACCCATCTGAGGTGAAGGGTTTCACAGCCACCAGGCTTATTCCCCAAGGACGCATGTTGAAACCCCCCTGGGCGTCCCAGGCCTACTTGGAAGCCAGGTTTTAATTCTACTCAGCTACCAACCTTTACAGCAGTCCTGGGATCACAGACCCTGGCATGCTACTGCCAGCCAAGAGAGGTCACGGGGCGGGGGAGGGGCGGGGGGGGGCAAGGTCCCTTTGGACAGTATGCCATTTCACTATGCCTGCCTTGGTGGCGCACTACTTTAAACCCAGCACTCAGGAGGCAAAGGCGGGTGGAACTCTGTGAAGTTCAAGGCCAGCCTGGTCTACACAGCGAGTCCAGGCCAGCCAGAGCTACATAGTGAGGCCTTGACTCAAAATATAAAATAAAATACTAAAAATAAAGTAAAGGTGCTTGGCTTGATCCGAATCTAGGCTATGCATGCGCGCACACCCCTGCCAGCCTGTGGGCTCTGCTGTTCTCGCTGGGTGTCCTGGGTCCCTGCCACCCGCAGCCCTGACACCGCGTGGACCCCTCGAGTCACTCCCCGCCCCCATGCATGTCCGCGGGGTTCCGCGGGGAGGCACCCGCGGTTTCCGGGAGAACGCGTCGGGCTGGCGGGGCACCGCCAGGCTCGCACTTCGCGCTCCCAGCCCGCACGTACCTGCTGCGTGCTGAAGTCCCAGCCCAGGCAGCAGCGGCGGCCCGCGCGCTCCGCCATGGCCCTGGGGGTCCCCGCTGCCCGTCTGTGCGTCGTGTGGCCCGCGGCGGTGACTGTGTCGCCGCGCTCCGACACCCAGGGACGCCGGGGCCTGCCTCTCGCCACGCCCCGCAGGACTCTGGCCTGGAGTCACGAGGCGGGTCTACACTCTGGCGCCCCCTGCGGGACGACCTGGGGCACTTGAGGTCCCTAGCCGTGCAGGTCCTCACCCCTCGAGCCTCACCCGCCGGCCTTAAGAAGGCTTGGCTTCCTTTGGAGACCTGGGAACTCTGAGGTGACTAGTTCTTGCAGGTACCCCGGGTGGTTCTAGGTCAGGGAATCCTTTGGAATTGCCTCTTGGGTAGTGGAGTAGCTGTCCACTGCACGGTAGTGACTCAAAGTCACAAGAATGAGTCCTGAGGTTAGAAGAGCTGGGCTTTGATAGGCCTTGTCCATGCCTACAACATCTGTTTGTTCCCCCAGATGTGTGACATCTCACCTTCCGATGTCAAATCAGTGTTCTTGGGTCTGTGAGATGGTTCTGTGTGTGTGTGTGTGTGTGTGTGTGTGTGTGCGTGCGTGCGCGTGCTCTCTCGTCTGAGATGGTTAAAGGCACTTGCCACCAAGCCTAAGTACCTTAGTTTCAACCCCAGGATGCATGTGGTAGAAAGATCCTACACATCTTACAAGTTATCCTCTGACCTCCCATGCATAGCACGGCACGTGTGCCAATACACACCACAAACAAATAATAAACAAACAAATAATGACAACATTTGAAAAAAATCAGAGGCTGTGATGCCCCACTGTGGATGGGACTCATTCATCCCCGCTGTTAATTAATGTATTCGTGGTTTAATGGGTCAGGCATGGCAAAGCCAGACAACAGCCCAAGCCAGATGTCTCCCTGGAAATGCCCATGACATCCACCTGCCTACAGGAAGTGTAGATGAGGTGCAGCCGGTGGATCATCAGACTCCTCCTTGCTGAACACCCCAGCTTGGCGCTCAGCCTGATCAAGAAGGCACTTAAACTAAGTGTCTGTCTCCCAGGGCATTCGCTGCTCACTGGGGACACAGGCCCTCAGCTGTCACCACTCAGGATGCCAATGGCCAGACACAGGGACTGCTCAAGAGCAAGTGTGTGACCTGCTGAGCACACTTAGTCCTCACAGTGACGGTGGGAGGTAGGTTTGACCAGCTCCATCCTATCTTTTGTTTCTTTAGGCCTTGTATTTTATTTGTGCTAACTCCATTTAAAGGACGGAAGGAAGGAGTGGAGAAGGAAGGAGAGAGGAAGACAGAAGGAAAAAAGAAAGAAGAAAAGAAGAAGGGAGGGAGGGAGGAAGGAGGGACAAGGAAAGAAGGAAGAAAGGCAAGAAGGAAGGAAGGAACATCTCTCTGGTCATGGTGGCATATACCTGTAATCCCAACTCTTGCGAGGCTGAAACAGGAGGATCTCAAGTTCAAGACTATCCTGGGTAAATTAATAAAACCCTGTCTCAAAAGAAAATTAAAAGGGGGCTGAGGAGACAGCCCCCTTTAATCCCAGTACTCAGGAGGCAGAGACAGGTGGATCTCTAAATTCAAGGTCAGCCTGGTGTACAAAGAGAGTTCCAGGACAGCCAGGGCTACATAATAAGGAGACTGTCTCAAAAGGTGGTGTGGTGTGGGGTGCTGAAGGCCAAGCTGGGTGTATTGGTGCATGCCTTTAATTCCAGCATTAGGAAGGCTGGGCAGATGGATCTTTATGAGTTTGGGGCCAGCCTGATCTACATAGCAAGTTCCAGGTCAGTCAAGGATGCATCATGAGACACCCTCCAAAGAAAAAAGAAAAAAAGTGGGGGCTAAAGATTTTGCCTAACCTGTGACCTAGAGTCAACCCTTTGTAACTACAAAAATCAAAATCTTAACTAAACTTGGAGTAGTAACTTACACTGTACTCCAGCACTTGGAGGAGTGAAACAGGATGACCAGGAGATGTCTGTGGTCAGCCTGGGATACATAGCAAGATCTGTCTCACAAATAATAATCCCCCCTCTGTGTGTGTGTGTCTCTCTGTGTGTGTCTGTATGTCTGTCTGTCTCTCTCTCTGTGTCTGTCTGTCTGTCTGTGTGTGTCTGTCTCTCTCTGTGTCTCTGTGTGTGTGTGTCTGTCTCTATGTGTCTGTCTGTCTGTCTCTGTATGTGTGTATGTGTATGTCTTTCGCTGTGTGTGTATCTGTCACACTCTGTCTCTGTGTGTCTCTCTCTGTGTCTGTGTGTATGTGTGTATCTGTGTCTCTCTCTGTGTGTGCGTCTGTCCCTTTCTCTCTCTCTTTCTCCTTCTCTTCCTCCTCCTATTTTTTGTTTGTTTTGACAATCTTGCAGTATGTCCCAGGTTGGCCTTACTAATGTCTGGGCTCAAAAGATGCTTCTTCGCAGATTGCCCTTGGATTTACAATCCTCCTGCCAGAACCTCCCCAGTAGCTGAGATTACAGGCAAGCAGCACCAGGTCTGGTGACAAAATCTGTTTTATTTTAAGACAAGATCTCATGTGTCCCAGGCTGGTCTTGAATTCACTGTGTAGCTGGGACTGGCCTTGAATTCTGGTCCTCCTGCCTCACCTTCCCAAATGCTGTAATTGCAGGTCTATGCCACCATACCTATTTTGAAGTTATCTTTTGCTGTCACCCACGGGTCAGCAGATTACCTGGGGGTGAGCACATCTAAGCCTAGCTCAGTTGGTGTGGCTCTTGTCCTCGCCCTGAGCTCAGTGTGGTGATTGTGCACCTGTCTGAGAACACCAGAGAAGAGCTTGGCAGCCCTTTGAGAAGTACACACTGCGGCTACTAGCCCAAAGGCAAGTGGTGAATGAGGCCAGAAAAAAGTGTGAATGTGCAGTAAGATAAACAATGGGGCCAAGGTGGGGGCTGGAGAGAAGGCTCAGAGGTTAGGAGCACTAGCTGTGCTTCCAGAGGTCCCTACACTGAGGTCTGGTGCCCTCTTCTGGCATGCAGGCATACGTGCAGGCAGAACACTGTATACATAATAAAGGCATGGTGACTCAGGCCTTTGCATTCTGAAGGTAGTGGCAGGCAGGTCTCCGTGAGTTCAAGGCTAACCTAGTCTACATAGAAAGTTCTAGGACAGCTAGGACTACTAAGTCTAATAAATAAATAAATAAATAAATAAATAAATAAATAAATAAATGCAGTGATGAAATCCACAAGAGGCCATTGCCAGCTGGAGAGGGGTTTCATACTCTTAGTTGGAGACAAGGAAAGAAACTCAGGCTGGTATTCAGCTAGCATGCTTGAGGCCCTCTGGGCTGTCTGAGTGAAGACATTGAGAAGGCCAGGTTGGATTCTCAGGAAAGAGGTCTGGGTTCAGAATATGATTTGAGAACCACTGTCTCACAGTGGGAGTGAGTTGGGTGTGTTACAGAGATTTCTCAGAGAGAATTATGAAGAACACATCAAACAACACAGAAAAATTATGACAGGCATAAAGTAGAAGGCATCAGAAGAATCTTCCTGGGAGGTTGGGCTTTGGCAGTGACATGCCACGAGAAGTCTGTTAGGTTGAACAGTGAAGAGGTGGATCTTAAGAATTCATGAAGAAAAAAAAAATCAGTGAGACCCCTAGGACCTTACTGTGTGTTGTGTTGCTATGGCCAATGTCATGTCCTACACAGCAAACACCTGTTTCTCACAGTTCTCAGCCTGGGACATCTGAGACCACAAGGCTGACAGTCAGTTCCTGATGAGGACTCTTTCCCAGACTTGCAAATGGTGGCCTCCTCTGTGTGCATGTGCCTAGAGAAAAGGGGACTCATGCTATCCAGGGGTACAGGGAAAAAGGCACAACTCCACCCGGACACACACGGGAGTTTGAGGAGTTCCCCTAATCTTTTCGTCACCTCATTGGAGGCCAAACTGAATGGCCCGTGTTTAACACGGAAGAGAATCTCAGGGCTAGCCAACATAAAGCAGAGTCAGATTTCAGATTTCTTTTTTACATTTATTATGTGGGTTCATGATGGCGTGTGTGTTGTCAGAGGCCAGTGTGTAGAGATAGGTTCTCTCCTTCTACCCTGTGGATTCCGGGGTGAAACTCGGGGCCTCAGGCTTGTCACCGAGGGCCCTAACCCATCTTGATGGCTCAGGATATTTTAATATAGATTTTAAGCACAAATGCTAAGAGAAAGGCTCTAAGAGAGGTGGGCTGGAGAGATGACTCCATGGTTAAGAGCATATACTGCTCTTGCAGAAGGCCTGAGTCTGAGTCCCAGCACCCACTTCTAGCCTTGTCTACAGAGTGAGTTCCAAGACTGGCCTAAGCAATTTAGTGATTTCTGTCTGAAAATTAAAATGAGTGTTGGGCAGGGTAGTGGTGACACGTGCCTTTAGTCCCAACACTTGGGAGGCAGAGGCAGGTAGATCCCTGGACAGCCTGCTCTACAGAGTGAGTTCCAGAACAGTCAGGGCTACACAGGGAAACCCTGTCTGAACAAAACAAAACCAAAATGAGGGCTGGGAGTGTAGCTCAGAAATAGAGTACTTGCCTAGCAGGTTCAAGACCAGAGATTCAACCCCCGGTATTGTGAAAAAATAAAAATCAAAACCCACCCACCAGAAATTAGGGATTGAATTAGATATGTCCATTATAATTCAGATTTGATAATTTACTTTATGTCTCTGTAATTTTATATTTATATGCAGAAGACTTCATCTTGGGGGTATATTAGAAATTAAATCTATCTTTAGTCTATTGTGACTCAGAAGAAATAAAATGAGTCTCTAAATCAGTGGGAGGCTGTTATGAGTGAAGATAACATTTTGACTAACCATTCCTAGCAGAGAAAGCACTGTATAAGTCCTGGTCCAAGGTGGAGGAGGGTGCACCTCTCTCTCTGTTAAATGAGTAGCTTCTGCAGCTGACACTAAGATTTTTAAAAAGCTGACTTGGTGTTTACAGCTGGAGAAACGGGCACTCACGGTGGACTTCGATGTTTAAGCAAACAGAACTCTGAGGGGAAATATGCTTATTTTCCCCAAACAGGGATGAACCTGCTGCTTGTGTTTGTAATCTCTTTAAAAGCAAATTTGGTTTAGGAAAATCAAATGTTAATCTTCTTTCTGACTTTACCGTGTTTATCCCCTGGGGTCTGTGTGCCTAGTTGTCTTCATTCTGTGAACACTCAAAGCTAGTATGTATGTCTACACACATGAAAGAAAAGTCTGGGAAGACATATCCCTGAGTTATCCATGAGAATTATCCAAGAATGAGATTCAGAAATTGGGGGTAGGGGTGACTTTTACGCTGTCATTTTCTTTATATGGTTTATAATTTTAATTTGTGGACTGAAATGATACAGAAAAGGAAACATACAGAAAAAATAAAATAGCATATTATCATCCACTGAGCCGTCTCCCCCATCCTACCCACCTCTTTTGGAGGGACATAATGTCTCATGCTTCAGACCATGCTGGCCTAGAATTATACAGACCTCAACCTCACAGTGACCTTCCTGCCTCAGCCTTCCAAGTGTTGAGATTATGATCTGATTTATTGGAACTTTTAAAAGAAACACTCTTAAAGAACCGAGGGGTGATTTGGGGACTGTTGGGGTACCTGAGATTGGAGAAACTAAGGAGTCAAGGGCCAAGCCTGGAGCACCTGCTGTGGAACCCCATCTTCCAGGCTGCTGGCCTCCTGAACACTCAGCAGCCGTGGTTCAGGAGAACCAATAAATGATGGGTCCACTAACATCCCTCCTAGAGGGGAGAGGGCTCATGAGATGGCATCCCTCTCTGGGGGATATGAAAGGGTTAGTTAACCATTTCTAGGGAGGGAAGAAGTACATTTCCAGTGGTGTGACCAACCACAAGCTGCCCATGTTCCTGTGAGGAAACCCTGGTAAAACTCTTTGGTTCATTAAGCTGGGCGTGAGGTGGAGTCAACTTTGACCTGTTGCTGGCTCTCCATCTGGATGAAGAGTTATTTGTTCATGTCTCTGTAAGAAACGTGTCTATGACAGCCCCACAGGAGGGAGAAGGCCAAGGGTGAAGGTCCGATGGCTGACTGGCTGGCCGACCTGGGAACAGAGCACTGAGCTCCACTGGAGGCTAACAGCAGGTGCCCTCTGACCTGCTCTCCTCTGCAGAATCCCACCTGCACCTCTGGCTTTGGAGGCAATGCCAGCTCCCTGACATCTGCTGTCCTTGGCTCTGTTCAGAAGCATCAGTGTCCCAGGGACCCCAGCTTACAAGTCCACCCCGGTAAGGACGCTTCCTCCCTGAGGCATAGGTTTGGGCTCCCAGGAGTGCCCCTGTGGTCTTTTGTGTGTGTGTCAGTGTCACAGCTCTCTGCCAGCTGTGTAGACTTCAAAGCCTACCTTGTGAACTAGCAGCATGCCCAAGAGGTCTACCTGCCGAACCTCTGTAGGGGACACCATAACCATGCCTGCTAGGGGCTGGCTACAGGTGTGCCTGACCATGCCTGTGAGGCGTGGTCAGGGTGATGGAGGGAAGGTTTAAGAGTGAGCAGCATGCACGTGGGCTTCCCTTCCGTTTCATCTTTGGCTTGCTGTACTTACTCCTGCCCTGCCAGCTGGCTAGGTCGCTCTGTAAGTAAGGCCTTTCCCTAGTAAATTCCCTTATATTTTTACCTGACTGCTGGAGCAACTGGACCATGTGTGGTGCCTTCTCTCCTGCCCACTGCTCCTTGGTGGGACTGGATGAGACAACTAAGGTAGCTGTTGGGTCCTGTCCATGCAGATAGGCTTCTCAAGATTGGTGGTACTGCCGGGCGTTAATGTTGCACACCTTTAATCTCAGCACTCAGGAGGCAGAGGCAGGCAGATCCTCTGTGAGTTCGAGGCCAGCCTGGTCTCCAGAGCGAGTGCCAGGATAGGCTCCAAAGCTACACAGAGAAACCCTGTTTCGTAAAACCAAAAAGAAAAAAAAAAGATTGGTAGTGCCTGGTTCTCCTGGAATCTCCCAGTCCCTGGTTGCCTTGCCCTGTGTTGCTGGCAAGACCACAGGTGACATCTGTGAGGCAAGATTCGTCTGAGGGCAAATGAATGAAGTCCTGGGGGACAACACAAGGAGTAGTCGGTGGCCATGAGTGCCCTTTATTCTCTGAGCAGAGCTAAAGCCCTGGGGTATAGCCAGGAGTTCTCCTGTCTTTTGCAGGAGTTCTTCACTGACAGGTGAAAGCTGCCACTGGCTTCCAAGGCACTGCCCACAGGGCCTGGGCACCGGCTGGGGCTGGAGCTGCCAAACGTTACCTATCGGCACTACCTATTCCCAGGAACGGGCTATCCTGAGTCCAGGTGGTAGAGGTCTGCTGGCTGCAGCTGGGGGCAGAGGACTTTGGGATGGGGTGCCCCCTTCCTATACACAGTGCCTTTACAGCTCTAAGGCACCCAGCCCCAGCCTTAGCTAAAGAATTCAGCATGCCCAAAACTGGAGAGCAGGACAGTGGCTGAGGGCTGAATGGTTCCTGGGATGAGGGAACCTCTTCCAGGGCAAAGGTGTCAGCTGAGGTACTCCGATGACAGGTCTCCAAAGCTTGCACACAGCTAGATCACGAGGGAAACCATGGCTCTTTAAACATTATGCAGATCACAGAGAATGACCCCTGGAGGAAATGACAGCCACAAAAATGAGACAACATACATTTATTATGTCCATCCCACCATAAAGAAGGCACAGTCCCTCAGAGGTACACAATGACTCAGAGTACGCATGGTGTCCCATGCTCACTTCAGCACAGCTTGGGGTACTAGACGGGACAGTCCCACATCTTTGCGCCACCAGTGATCACATTTTCTAAATTAAAGTGCTGTGATACACCCCTCCAGTGCTGGGTGTCCCATGCTTCCGTAGAGGCCCTCTCTGTTCCGTCACTGTTGGACTCTCTGGGCAGTGCCTGCAGCCAGGGCTTCAGTTCCCAGGGTATTCAAAGACAGCAGCGGCTCCCATGCCCGTCCCGATGCACATGGACACCACTCCATAAGCCCTGGGGAAAAGAACCTGTGTTGGCTGGGCAGAGCCTGACCCCAACCCACGCCCTCACCAGGCAGAGCTGCGGCAACAAGGACTCAGGGACAGATGAGCGCAGCAGATCTGTGGGAACCGGGCCCTAGACAGACACACGCCCAGGTGGCAGACACCGTCCATAGGTTATGCTGCCTTTTAAGCAGGTCACTGGGAAGGCAGGTCTCAGCCCTCCTTCCCTAGTTGAGAATACCTGTGTGTGCTCATCTCAAGGCCCAGCGACCAGACACCCAGCTCGAACATCCCCACAACACTCCACAGGGAGCGGCCTTACCGTTTCCCACGGCGCTTTAGTTCATTGAGCAGTGTGACGACCTGCCTTGCCCCGGTGCAGCCCAGGGGGTGGCCCAGGGCTATTGCACCCCCCAGGGGGTTCACTTTCTCTGCAGGGATTCCCAGCTTCTCCACACAGTAGACGGCCTGGAAGGAGCCAGAGCAGTAGCTGAAGCCTCCATCTGCTCTGAGCCACTGGCCCGATGGATCCCACCAGGACACCCAGGCTCACCTGACTTGCAAAGGCCTCATTGATCTCAAAGATGTCTATGTCATTCACAGTCAGGCCTGCAGGCAAGATTCAGACCAGAGCTGACAGTCATGGGCAGGACTCTGGATTTCCTCTGGGCTCCACCCCAAGCACGGCTCTAGCAGTCTACTGTGTGCCAGGCCAGGGGTTCCAATGGTAGCTTAGGGAGGCCTTGGACACGGGTGCTAGTCTGACCCACTTTCATTCCCGAGCACCCACAGGGTCAAACCCTGCAACCCCAGTCCCAGATAGAGGTAACGAGGGGTCCAGGTGCAGGATGAGAGGGACCGCCTCACCTGCTTTCTGCAAGGCTGCAGGGATGGCATAGGCAGGACCGATGCCCATGATGTCAGGAGGGACACCAACCACTGCATAGGACCTCAGGACCCCGAGGATGGGCAGGCCCAATTCTTCAGCCTTGGATCTCCGGGCCAGCAGGACGGCAGCTGCTCCATCACTCACCTGACTGGAGTTTCCTAGGGGAGGAAGGGTGGGATGGGGAGGCGTCAGGCGGAGCTGAGGAGAGCCAGTCCTCCACCATCACCTTGCCAAGGGGCCTTGGTCTCAGAGTAGAACAGGCCACCTCCATCAGCCCTATTCCTGGCCCACACTCACCAGCTGTGGTAGAGCCTCCATCCTTGAAGGCAGGCTTCAGCTTGGCCAGGCCCTCCATGGTGGTGCTGGGGCGGACACCCTCATCCTGGGACACAGTGACGGTTTTCTTGTTGCCCTTGTCATCAAGGATGGTGGTTGTCACAGGAACGATCTCAGCTCGGAAACAGCCCCTGCTCTGGGCTCTCGCTGCCCTGCCAGCACCATGGACAATGAGATAGAGGCAGGCAAGTGTGGGCTCCTGTCCTGCCTGTTCCTAGCTTACATATACTTCAGGGTTTGAAGTCTGGGGATATACTTGGCCCTTGGGGAGCTCTGATTGGAAGGAATTCCTCAGGACCTTCCTTCACCTCCTTTCTGGTAGGGACAGCATGCCTAAGGCCATCCAGGGCCTTTACATCATCTGTCGCACAGCTTTGACCATGTTTAATCCCCACCTCAAAGGGAAGGAGGGAGTTAAAATTAAAATTTAATGTGTGTGTGTGTGTGTGTGTGTGTGCATAAACACACACACCTAGAGCATGCACATATCGGTCAGAGGTCAACTCTGAGGAATCAGTTTTCTCCTTTCACTGTGTTAGAGGCAGTGCCTCGTTTCCCTTATGTTGAGTTCAAGTAGCTGGACCACAAACTTCTAGCTGCTTCTTGTCGCCACCTGGCCCAGACACCATGTATTTTTTTTTTTTTCCTACAGTTAGGCTGGTCAACCTAGCCTGCCCAGAGATCTGAGGCTCATCTTTGCCTGAGGTCACCTCCCCGCACTCAGACCTATTCTGTAATTTGGGAAGACAGTGCCTTAGCACATCTCATTGTGATGCTGGCCCCTGCACCTCCCAGCTAGACATGCACGGCGAAGCTCTACCTGAAACTACTTGGTTGGCCCCATGATCCACTCTCCAGCCTATCCATAGCCCACCCGAGCTGAGCCACACTCACTTCTGCTGGGAGGCCAGAGCGAAGGCATCCTGCTTCTGCCGTGAAATGCCAAACTGCTCAGCCACGTTCTCTGAGGTTATCCTAGACACAAACAAGCAAAGCAGGAGGCTGTGGGCCTGTGGGCCTGAGGCCATACTGAAGGTCTGTGCCTGCACTTCTGGGCGTCCAGATCAGAGACAGAGCTTCCAGTCCTTGCTCCAGGGACTCCTGGCTCAATATGGACATCGAGCACCCATGTCAACAGATGCTCACACATTCACACTTCAAAGTCACCCTCTTAAAGGGTAGAGCAGCCTGAATGTGGAGCCTATAAAAGGAACTGTCCCCTGGATGAGTTGGCTCAGCCATAAGACAAGGGCTGGAGGGATGCTGGGGGTACCATCTGGCCTCAGTTTCTCCTATGGTTTCCAGGCTACTCTTGGAAACACAGGATGTGGACACAGCCAGGCCAGTCTGGAGTCCTCACATGACCAGCCTCCCCAGAATCCCTTGCCTTTGAACACACACTGTGAAGAGCTCACAGACATAGCTGTAGTACTCAGGCACTGGAGTGATGGAACAGGTCCGCCACACTGCATCTCACTGGCTGAGTACCTCCTGGGCATGTACAGGAGTCCAAGCCTCCCATGTTCTCAACTCTTGAGGCCTCCAAGGCTTTCGGGACTATTACCACTGCCTTCCCTGAGACATAGCACCTCAGACAGAGGAGTGAGTGTTTGTGTGTGTGTGTGTGTGTGTGTGTGTGTGTGTGTGTGTGGTGTTTTGGGTGGGGGGGTAGGGCTTAGAAAGGGAAGTCAAGGGCAGCATCAATCCCATACCCAGTTCCTACAGAGCATATGACACCTAGAGGAAGAAGACAAGGCTAAGTACTGCCAGCCACAGACGAGAAAATTCCCTGGTGTCTGGTCAAGGATAAGCAGAACAGTGACCGGGCACACACACAAACACAAACACGCACACGCACACGCATACCTTCCTGTGGACACTCACCCCATAGGAATCAGGCAATCTCTGGCCTTCTCATTCTCCAGCAGGCGAGAAGAAACATTCCCAGGGTTCCCTCTCTCAGACAGGGACATGGACTCCACCCTAAGGAGGAGTGATTTCATTACTAGTAGGAAGCCCCAGGGGTGGCCAGCTGAATTCCGGGCAATTTCAGGCAGCCCTCGGGGAGTGTGGTAAACTGTCTAGGAAGCCTGAGAAAGGCAGATGGCCCAAGAGGCAGGGGGAGGTTAGAGGGGCGCTGAGCCCTCCCTCCCTCAAGCCTGGTCAGATATACTCCCAGGGCCAAGGCTGCCGCTGCTCAGTACTGAGGCAGGGAACTGGCAGTTCCCCCCACCCCTCCCGGGGTAGCTTTCTGGTACCCACCCCCAGCACAAGGCATATGCCCCGAGTTAGGCAAAACTCTCATTAATTTCAAAGTCAAAATGAGAAGGGAGAAATTCCTTTCAAACAAGCACAAGGTTAATGTCAGTCAAAGGCAGACCTGACTGGAGTGGATGGGGAGGAGGGACCAGGAGTGGGTGTGGAGGACTCAGAAAGGTTGTGTGTGTGGGGGGGGTAAAGCTTTGTGATGATGGTTGATGACCTTAACTGAGTGTTTCTTCTTCCTCTAGCCCTAGCTCAAACCCTTTTCAAGCACAAGGGCCCTTCAAAGAGTGCAACCACATGACACAGACCCCATTGTGTTAGCTGAATAAGTGTCCCCCTTATAAAGATGGGGACACTGAGGTCTCATTGGTGAGGGGTTGGCCCATAGCTGTCCAACCTGGACCACAACTAGACATTCTGGCCCCAGAGATAACCCTCAGCCAAGAGGCCCTGGGCAAGCTGCACTCTCAAAGACTAGGGATAGTCAGGATGCGATGTGGACATCCTCTAGTCCCACCTGCTCTGTCTCCAACACCACGGTCCTCAAACTGACTGGGACTAGAATCCCCTGAGGAACTCATGGAGCCCCAGCCCTTTCCCTCAAGTAACCACATCTGCTGTCCTCGTTATGACAAATATGAAGAACAGCAAAAGGCAGGCTGGCTGTGACCCTCGCCCACCACTGTCTCCGTGTGTGGATTTTGGCTGTTATCCTACTGACACAGGTCAGGACAACCCAATGAAGGGCAGCCAAGACCTGAGCACAGGCCAGCAATGCTCCCTGACAGAGGACAAGGAAGGCCGCTGGCCCCCGCCAGCCCTGCCAAGGCATCCCTTAGATGTCTTCCCAGCTTCAGATACCCCAAATCTAGGCCCTAGCACCCTGCCCTCCCTTGGAGCCACTTCCAAGTTAATTTCTACAGGCAGAAGTAAAACTGTAGTCTAGGTGAACAGAAATCCGACTGTCTGTCCCTTGGAACCTAGTTGCAACCCAGGTTGGTGACAAGAGAATAGATAGACTAGTAAGACAATTATATAATAAAAGTCGTCCCTGGCTTCAGGCAGGCTGGCTTCTAACCTCAGATCGTCTTCTCTCAGTCTTCCCACAGGCTGGGATGGACAGGCAAGAACTACCATGCTTTGCTCTGTACGTCCCTGGGTTTAGGGGGCCAAAATTGATACTGTTCCCTCCCACGAATAGAGAACATACAAGTGCCACTGAAGGCATACCCCGGGCAGTCAGTACTTTGTCTGCGTGCCACATTTTCCACTCTGGCAGATTCCCAGGCTACCTTAGAGACCAACTCTCTCCACTGCTGAGACTAAACCATCCAGGTTCTTGGGCCACTCCTGGACACATTTCTGGGAGCCCAGCCCAGCCAGCTGTCATGGTGGGTGGGGAGAATCATGGCCCCTCAGAATTGAGGAGAGGAAAATTAGTTTGATTATTACTTTGGTTAATAAGGTCTGGCAGGAAGACAGTCTTACCCACAGGCCATGCCAATGTCATAAGACCCATTTCTGATGCCACCTGCAACAAAAGCACTTCATAACCATCCTTGGCCAGAGTGGGCCGTTCCCTCCCTGCTCTTGGGGTACATTCACCAAAGCCTCACAGAAGCACCCAAAAGAGCTTGGGGTATGACAATGGGTGCTCCGCCACTCCTCTCTGCCTAGGGTCTCTAGGGTCAAGAGCCAAGGCTAGAGCCAGTGGTGGTGGTGCACGCCTTTAATCGCAGCACTAAGGCAGACACAGGTGGATCTCTGAGTTCCAGGACAGCATGGTCTACAAAGCAAGTTCCGGGACAGCCAGAGCTACACAGAGAAACTGTTTCAAAGAAAACAAAACAAAACAAACACAAAAAAGGAACCAAGGTCAGGGCATGCTCACGGGCACCTGGCGGTCACAACTTACCAGCAATGTTGGCCACTGCCTGCAGCCCTGAGGAACACTGTCTATTGATGGTAGACAAAGGGACAGTCTCTGGAATGTCACTGAAACAGAAGGGGAAATGCCAGTTACCCTGGACATGCAGCCAGTCCTGAACACGCATGCCATAGCCTTATAGAAAGCAGAGCCCCAGGGGGCTTCAGGGCCCCATTATGGCCCATAACAGTGTGTATAGACCAGAGGAATAACAACAGCTGGCCTTGTCCTCACCACAGTAGTTATATGTAAAGGAGGGGGTCAACTACTGGGCAAATCCTGTCACTACGGACACTCACAACCAGGGTCCCCAAACACATGCCCTGCTACCTTGTGATTCTAAACTCAGGCAGGGGAAGTTTGTTTGGGCCACAGGCATTCTTCTTCATCTTCTGATGATTTGATAAAGAGACTAGCCACGGCCTAAGAGCTACCTCACAGACAAGGCCTCCAACCATCTCCATCACCTGGCCTCACCAGCGCTCACACACCTGTGTACCTGTTCGTGGTCTCTGAGAATCTGCTCTTGCCTGGATGAAGAGTGCTTCTGGCATGTTCTTAGTACTGGGTACTCCTTGGACTTTGACACTGGTTGGGGTCAGCTCTGGAAGCTACCTCAGCTGCTCCTCCGGGTAAATACCTCATCTCGGCCAACAGTACAAAACTTAATTCCTAGTGCCTCCTTAGACAAGCCCAGGAAGTTCCCTGAGAGTCTTGTTAATTCTGGTGTACAGCCAGGCTTGGAAACTCTCAGGCCAGGCTCTCAGTAACGGCTTTTCAGGATCAATACACCCTTCGTTCCAAGCTACCCATTCACCAAGCTCCTTCCCTCAAGGTACCTTGTTTTTTTATTTTTTGGTTTTTTGAGACAGGGTTTCTCTGTGTAGCTTTGGAGCCTATCCTGGCACTCGCTCTGTACACCAGACTGGCCTCGAACTCATAGAGATCCACCTGCCTCTGCCTCCCAAGTGCTGGGATTAAAGGCGTGGGCTACCAATGCCCAGCTGGCACCAAGTTTTCATCAAATAAATACTGAGCACAAGGAGGGTAAGAGACCAACAGTACTGTGTCCCAGAGGACGCCCAACCAGTACACAGAAAATCAGTTCGTTGTCAGAGATGGAAATAATGGCCAGATGGCAAAGCCACAGCACAGGGAGGCACATAGCAGCCCACTGAACAAGAAGGGCACTCTTCTGACACTTGAGAGACATTTCCCAAAGACGTTTGGACAGGGGTGTTGGCTAGAGCAAGGCAAGGAGGGAGAGAGCTCTATATGGGGACAGAATGGGGAGAGTAGTGTAAATAGAAGGTGGACAGGATAGATGAAGGAGGGAAGACTTTGGTAGGAGATCAAAGGTAGGAGATGAGAACGGAAAGTTACAAGAGGGATGGAGAGGTATTCCATCCCAGACTAAGTCTGACTCCCTCCTAATCTCTACACCTTCTGTTCTCTGCCCTGTTCTGACACTGGCCAGTGCTACTAAGACGTCTCATCTACCTAAGGGAGGTAGGCCTTCAATCTACACATGGAAGTAACTGAACTACTGCTTCCCGCAACTGAAAGATGGCCAGGGCTCCTCCTGGCTTCCCCCTCCCCACCCTCCAGCTGAGCCTGGAGTTCTCAAGCAGCTCAAGTAGGAATGGAAACAAAGTCGTAGACCAACGTGGTTATGTGATTATTTGCCTGAAATCTGAGGACGGAGTTCACACGTCCAAAGGGTAAGTAAGCAACAACTGGCTTTAGGAAAAATCAGGTCAACTTTGCTCCAGTCCCAGAGCTCTAGGTGTCCTGGCTTTGGGCCAGGTAACACACCCTTCAAAGTAGGAGAAAAGTTGGGTCCAAGGATTTGGGTTGATTTCATATGTAGGGTCCAACCTGCTAACTTGTCACCTACAGACTGGTCAATGGTGGTAGGACCCCAGCAGAGGTAAAAGGATTACCTCAGAAATTGGGCGATGCGTGCCATGATGGCCCCAGCTCCTGGCTGAAGTACATTACCTGTTGACAGAAATCTTATTCAGTACTGTTTTGCATAATAATGTTCAGTTCTAATTTCCAAAGAGGAGATATTCCAGATATTTCTTCAGATCACCTCAGGATTTCCCCAGGCTCACTTAAAACTGTAGAAGTTCAGAGTCGGAGGAATGGGGAGCCAGCTACCAATCCCCTGTCATCCACCCGCCCAGGGCTGGAGGGACACCAGCATGCTAGCCACGGCTTATGCCTCCAAATCAGCACAGCTAGCCCGGTGGCCTGCTTGCCTGGCAACAGGAGAGCATCTAGGGTAAGAGGCACACAGTGCAAAGCCTGGAAACTGAGGGAAGTAGCACTAGGGGTGAGGGAAGTGAACGCATAGCTCGCCTTCCCAAGTGTCCCCTCCACGCCCTGTGTCACTGCGGGAGGGGGAACAGGCTGCCACCCCCGATAGAGTCCTGTCCCACACTATGCTGTTCCAGTTCAGGAAGAGCAGGGGTTAGAGCAGGGCTGGGTGGACGCAGTCTACACCTGTAGCCGAACCGGGCTGGACTAGATGGTTCTGACAGACAGGATGTCGGTGTAGGTGGAGAAAGCCTCCCGCCTCCTGGAGTTTCCAGGAACATCAGGGCTTTTTAGATCAGTGGTTCTCAACCTTCCTAAGGCTGTGACTCTTTAATACAGTCCCTCGTGGTTTTTGTTGCTACTTCATAACTGTGATTTTGCTACTGTTATGAAGCGAAATGCAACTATCCGTGCTTTCCAAGGTCCCAGGAGGGGTCGCGACCCAGAGATTGAGAACCACTGCTTTAAAGCCTCTACTACAGGGCGTTCGTGCTTTCCACCTCCAGTCGGATGGCTAATGACCTGGATGTGGAACACAGGCCATCACGGGATCATTCCACTGAAATTAGTGGAGTCCGTCAACTCTTGCTCAGGTGAAACCCAGGTTCGCTGAGACAAGGGGAGGCCCCGGGAGGGAGGGCGGAGAGGGCCCAGCGCGCGCCCGGCAGGTGAGCTCACCCACGGAGATGTCCCCCAGCGCCTCAGGCTTGAGCCTCACGTCCTGGAGAACCGCGGTCAACACAGCCGACAGAAGCTCGTCCGGGGTGGTGTCCTGCAGGGCGGAGCGCCGCGGCTGTGAGCCCCGCTCCTGCACCCCGCCCGGGGCCTCTGCGACCCCGCACCCCCGAGGGCAGGATCCCCCTGCACTGGCCGCCTTCTGCGCCCCTCGCCCCCCCGCCCGCCGC